GGCAAGGCACCTGATGATGATGTAATATAATTGAAAACGAAACCATGCTTATTATTCTTGGATGCATTAGAGACTCCATACCATACGTCTTGGATGTCCCTACAATAAAAAAAAAAAATGAGCCAGCTATCCATTACCGTTGCTTTCTCCGAAAATGAACAGTTCCTCAAATACCAATTCAAATTAAACTTAATTTATTTTACAAGCGCACGTTTGTGTGGGCCTTAGGAAGAAAAAAAAGTTGGTGATGTAACTGCAATTGAATGGATTTCTTCTGAGCTATTCATGCTGATAGTGCTGTACCAGTTCTTTACGTTGGTTTAGCAAATGGCATCGTTGTTGTTGCGCCATGAGGTTCTCAGTTACTATCACGATCTTGACCATGCTTCGTCAACGTTGTCGGTTTGTCGTCTTCGTCCATAGCACCATTTGAAATGTTCCAGTCCGTCATTCCTTTGCTTGCTTGGAATGTTTTCTTTTTAACCAGATGTATTCTTTTGTACTTCCGTTGAGTTATCGCCACTTGATATCATGTCTACGCTGCTAGTCGTCAATGCTCCTCATGCTATTTTTCCAAAGTCTGTTGGACCGTTTAACCAGCTCTTTCGTGGTTTTCTTTGGGACAACAGCTCTGCCTCTCTCATCTGGTTTTGGCGTTAGCTTTAAAGTTTTAGTTTCTTTCGTTTTTCTGTCCAGGCTGGGAGGTCTCATATTCACTGTGTTGTCTTCTCTTCATTGGTCTCCTTGGCTATTTATGACAACTTTTTCTGACTTAAAATTTTCCATACCCCTCTGGTGTGTCTCCACTTTGTAGTGATACATGGACTTGTGTGTTCCAATAACCCATGACCTATGCTGTCGGTACCTTAGCTTCTGGAAGATCTCCCATTTAAGACATGTTGATGGGGAGGAACAAACGAACGAACAAACCTTATTTTTAAAACAGTTACAAATTGGGCACATAGGCTCGTCAGACATTCGGCCCTTCTAAGCACTCATCTTTCAGAGTACCAATGCCTGTTATCAGTACTTACTTAGTCGCTCCTCTTCTACCTTGGGGTGTAGAGGTTTGCCAGAGAGATCACCAGACACCTCTATCAGCAGTTTTCTTTCTGGCTTTGTTCCATTCTAGTCCTCTGTCAGTTAGGGGCTGTCGGATGTTGTCTTCCCAGCGCACCCTGGGTCGTCCTGGAGGTCTGGTTCTCTGGTTCCCTTTTTTCAGTAATGCATGTAATGTACGAAGAGGGACACGCCTTAAATTTCATAATGTCACAAATGAAAATAAGGAGCTAATCTGGCGTAGCACCGTCATGCAGAGATAGTGTCGGGCCCTTGTCTCGAAGGAGTTCACCCTACAAAGTCAGACTGAGAAAGAGATAACTTCAATGAAAAATGTCGTCTTTTTTTCGTTTATCCGGAGATGTAATTGCTGTATGCCTGTTCATAACATGGCTGCGATATGTGCTTCTTTCAGCCGACACAAATGTTTTCTACTGGCGTTTATTAACCTACCAGGTTAGTTTCGCGAGACACTGCAGTCTAATTCTTGTGTGATTATCTTTTTTCCAAGGTCATATCAGATCGTCCAGAGACGCCGTGTAATGCTGGTCAGCCTTCGAGAGAAGATAGGGACACAACATGAACATTCTCTGCTATACAAGGAAGCTTTCATAAATGTAGAGACAGTACATAATGCTCTGACAACAAGGGAACAGTCACGCCCTGTCATGACTGTTTAACATCACTTCCATGTATTGAACAGCTCATTCATCATGGTCTATATCTTTAGAAGCCAATACAAGGCAGCCTGCTGACCTGGGATTTAGATTCCCTAAACAAAATAGTAAATACAGCTTTACCAACCAGGTATCACAATCGAAAATGAAGAAATGGAAAATGTAACAACTTTGGAATACTAGGGCTCTTTAGTGAACAACAGTGGCGACTACTCAAAAGAAGTCAGAAGAAGACTCGCATTGACAATGCAGAGATTAAACAGCACGAAGAACCTATGGCAAAGCACTAGTAAATTGGTTAAAGTATAAATCTTGAGATCATGCATTTTTTTTTTTTTTTCTGTGGCAACTCATGGTTGTGAGTCTTGGACTCTCACTCAGTTCCGGAGGAAAAAGATTGGAGCTTTTGAATGGAAATGTTTTAGAAGAAATCTTAGAATACCATGGACCGGGAAGAGGAAAAACATCGACATTCTAAACGAGTTGAACATTAAGGAGAACTGGCTCATAAACAGCATCCTGTCCCGAAAGTTGAAGTATTTTGGTCACATCAAGCGACATGGTTGCTTGGAAAAGACGGTGATGAGAGGTGCAGTTTGTGGAAGGCGAGGCAGGGGTCGACCACCGCGAAGATAGATACAAGACATTGAAGAAGCATTGACATTAAAAGCACTTGAGGCCGGAGAGCTGGCTAGGGAAAGGAATACTTTCAGGAGTGCCGTGAAGAGAGCGACGTTCTGTAAAGGACTAGCTGATCGATGATGAAACAAAATAAGTACTTTGTTTCTTGTGCATGTTAGACTTTTACTTCAGTGGTTTTATGCCTCCAGAAGTCTTGTGTGTCATTTCCCACGTTGATGTCTAACCTCATCCAGTAGGGCCGTCGAGGGACAGCTGGGTCTGTTTCATTTCATTCTCACGTCATTGTTTATGAACTCTGCATCTCCAGGGCTATCAGCTCCGAGAATTCCTAACAGTTTTTCTTCGTCTCATACCTTCAGAGGTCAATGTTCATGTATTTAGTGAAATCAGCAGTCAACTTGAGGTTGTTGACATCTCAGCAGAGTTTGACCTAAAAAGGAGCGGGTGTCAGCCAAATAAATTTTCTCTGTTCTGCATATATTGGACATTTCAGATTAATGAATTAGAAGAAGAAGAAGAAGGAGGTAATGATAAAATAGTTTAATAATAGGAATTACAGTTGAAAAATATCACTATACTCTATTATGTAGTAACTGGCGGGCAGGATGGAACCTGGGGACTTCGGGACCAAGTGACCCTCCAAATTTTATGGGAGGCTCAACCCCCTCCCCACCCCCTCCTTTTCCGAAGAGGGTTGAGCTGCCCCCCACCCCCTTTTCACGATGTACAGAAGCTACCATTTTAAGTTTGTGCTTATATTTAGCATATAATGTCAAATAATTTATTTATTCGCCAATATCCATATTATTATTATTATTATTAAGTAATTTAGGAAAGCGTCAGCGCTGGCGGCCTCCCATATCACAGGGCTTCAGTATAGAGGCTTCCAAAATAGATCCGTTGCCCCTTTATAAAAAATGTCTCAAAAGCTGACTAATTAGGGGAGTTTCTTTTGAAGTCAGGGTCATCTGCTTGAGAGGCAAGGAACCAGCAGTCTGCTATAAGTAAGCCACATCAGTAAAACGGATGTGCACGCAAAAACTCAGAACTTTCCACTCTAATTTACAGCCAGTTAACGCAAAAAAATATATAAAACTAAGGGGTACTTATCGTCCCCTTCCCCCTCCCCACCCCCGCATTTGTTATTAGTGTCGGCGCCCCTAGTTTTGTGTTATTGCTATGATTGCTTAGTGTCGAAAGGGTAAGGCCAAGCCCCTGCAACCTATCACATGATTCAACTGAAACCAGAAAAGTTGAGTTGAGTCAAGAATCGACATCACAACACTCGAGGCATTCCCACATACACTCCTCCCCTATCTTAAGCAACCAGAATACTGATGGTACCGGCTGTAGCTGGTTATATGTCTGTCTTGCCTTTCCTCTGAGTGTAGTGAACGTGCCAGACCCAAGTGACTCATTCTCTCCAGCCCATAATAATCTAGTTTCTCTTCTGACTTCGTTACATTTTCCCAAGAGGCTTTGACAACATCTGCCTTGTCATGTATCAGTTCATACCCCAGTGGTGCAGATCCAGCCTGTCTGTCTTTCTGTTCATTACCCACCACGCTGGTATAGCCTGGAGAAAAGATCCAACGTATGCTCACTACCCGTAACCTTCCCAGTGAAGCTTGCCACTCTGCCTCAAGCATCCCTGTCTTCAGCTTTCTCAGCATGCTTTCAGAGTCTGTTACAATTACATGTGTACGCATCTTGTTCTCTAACCACCGGCAAGCTGCAGGTACCGCTTCCACCTCCATTCTCATACTGCATGTCTTAAACCAAACAAAAGGAATGTTCTAAGTTTAATTCATACGTGAACAATAATAGTTCAATTAGGAAACTAACCCGAAATGTTATTTTGGCGATTAGTTCTGTTTCAAGAAAACCCGTGTCCACTGTCTAGTTCTGTGAGAATAGGTTTACAATGCTGCCTTTAGGCGAGTCGTCAAGAAGAATATACTGGAGGGATGGGGGTAAGCGGTCAGACCCCTTATAATTTTTTTTTGTAGGGGGGAGGGGGCTGAATTGTCTTAAGCCTTGTTTAAGTGGGCAATATTCTTATTTTTATTGGGTACTGAATGGCAATATATATATATCTTGGAGATATTATGAAATGTATGTCGAAAGGCACAGATAGTATGGGAGAATATTTTCCCACAAACATGACGTCACGCCTACCTTCTTGAATGTCAGAAAACCCTAGCAGGAATGAAAACTGTGGTGCTTAAACTTTAACACTTCAGTGAAATCATATTACGGGGAGTGGCAACTGTACAACGTCACCACTCGCAAATCTAGAAGAAAAACCTAGATAATGTATCTATCAGAGGGACAAGATGAACGAAGAAGACGTGTGCGCTCTGAGGATTCTACAATGGAATGCACGATAGCTTTCATAAAGGCTACCGGCCTCCTGATATAAGTTATCTGACAGAAGGATCGAAGAAGAAGAAGAAGATAAAATTTATGAACTAATTATTAAAATGATGAGTCTTTATGTGGTGGGGAAAGTGGGGGGGGGGGGAGACATTGCTTCAATATTTTTTAATTAATCGAGATTGCTGAGGCCCCAGGTTCCGGCCCCTAGGCCTGGAAGAGCGTTTGTTGGGCTTTCTGATCACGCTAACGTGCGGCTCGCTGCTTGACCATTTTAACTTCCCGGGCCAGCTGACAGAGTGCACATGTTCCACAGTACGTCTGCACCAGACAGTCATTGCAGATTGAGCCCTGAAATAGCATCGGTAGAAATCAGAAACAGGCAAAAAGGTCTACATTAGACTAAGAGTTATTCAATAGTCAAAAGCCTATGCGGCGTTGGGTCTTAGAGAAAGCGAATGTGTCTGTTTTACCCGTTGTTTTGTTTGTGCTGTTTTCTTCTTTTTATTTCCAATCCTCTTTCTCCTATACTCCCCCCCCCCCCCCCCCTCCTCTACTTTCTATGAGTGTGTGAATTTATTTGTGCTTAGGATTTGTTTGAATGTCAGTGTAAGTATGTACATGCATTCATGTGTGAGTGTTTGGTTGTGTAGGTAGGAATGCGTTTGTATGCATGAGTGTATGTGTGTGGATATATGAGTGTGTATGTATGTGTGGATGCACGTATGAGTGTGGATGTGTGCTTGTGTATGTAGGAATTCATGTGTATACAGAGGTGATACTCCATGATCACGATCTACAAAAGCACAGCGTAATAATTCCAGTTTTACTCACTGGCCATGCGTAGTCGATAAGAGGCTCGTTTTCAAATCCAGCTGCGACTCGCTGCAGCCCACGGCCGGTGTTCGAAATCGGGCGGCTCCCGGGGTTCACTCAGCCTCTAGGTACCGGGTACCAGAGTTGACACTCTGGGTTAAATGGAGGAACGTCGCTATAGCTACAGAGTTGCGTGCGAACGGCGACATAGGCAGACAATTTCTTAACAGCTGTCCATACTGGTGGCAGAGCACTTATGGTTTACAACCCTCTTCAATATTCAGCTCTTGAAGTATGGATGCATTTGTTCTTTTCTTTACCCAAAATATTCTTAGAACCTGTCTGTAACATTTATATTCAAATGCATTTATGCGCGTGTGTATTGTTGCGCACCTAAAATATCTCTTAGCAGTTGGAAATCAAAAACAGTAGCCTAACGGCTACTTTAGGAGTTAAAAATTTACCCAAAGTATTTCAAGATAAACGCCGCTGCTACGGAGTTTGTGCAATGTGCTGATATTCTTCGGACTCATGTTTGAATTAGAAGTAGAACGGAGCACTTATAGGTTACTGCCCTTGTGCCATGATGTTGATCTGTTGCTAAATCCTAAACTAAGTAACCAACACTATGATACGTGTTTAACCCATGTATAATCACAGAAACATGGCTTGTTATTTTAATATCCTAACTAAATACACGTGTTACAACATTTGTGACAGTCAGACTTTCACATGTTACATCCACTGTTGTCGGCTCTGTATCTAAGTCGATGCGAACGCTTCGTAATGCGGGGATGCCGGGTTCGATCCCAGCTGCGGGCCATGCGCCTTGCGTTGATTTCAACAGTGGTATCAAGAAAGCCGACCGTCCAGGAAGCAATGGCAAACTAATGGACGTAAATTTGCCTAGAAAACCCACACAACAGCCAGGGGCTGGTGAGGTTGGTTCTGCAACGTCCTGTAAAGGAAACGCAACTAACCTATATTCACTGCGATTGTTGCAAACCTTAGGAAATATCGTCCCAAATCTTCTCCTCCTTATAGAGATATAAAAATTTTTTTAAAATTCCACTTACTTGAATGCGTTCTTGAGCCCTCATTTTGACCCTGAGTGCCATCAAGTAATATGGAACGCACCAGGGCAGACACATGGTCTCATCCATGTCTGAGGAAACCTGCATGGCCAAGCAACAGCTGCAAAATAGGCCGCAGAGACCTGATGGAGATCATAAGAAGTGGGTCAAATGTCGTTGTGCAAAGACACATGATAATAGTGGTTTTCAGCCTCTTTCACGTGACGCCTTCCTTGAGTATATGGCAAGACATCCCTCATCCCCCTTTTTCGATTTGTTTATTCCCACCCCTAAGCCTTTAGTTTCAACCCCCTCCCCCTACAGCCTCCAGTCTCGGGGTTCTCTTGTGGGGGTGGGGGGAGGGGATAGAATAGACCCACGGCCTCCCCAACAAGCATGTCGTAAGTGTCGACTAATTGGGAGCTTCCTTCGATGTCAGAGTGCATCTGCCTGAGAGGCAAGGAACCAACAATCTGCAAACAATTAAGTCACTTCTGTTAAACGGATTTGCAAGCAGCACTAAGAGTCTGGAACAAGACTAAAGTCCAGAGGTAGACAAACAACCAGAACTTTCCGACGTAGTTTACAGCTGCTGAACGCGAAGAAGAAGAAAATGATTAAAAATTTATGTACAAAACGAAAAATCCAAAGCACTATTTTAAAAGCTTAAGGAAACAAATAAATAAACATAAATCAAAGTGTCAACAAAATATAAAAGAAACATTCACGAAACAAATTAGCAGAAAGGTAATTTAGTGTCCAAATATCAAATGTGATAGTTGACACTCTTTTGTCTTGCTAATATCTGGTGTACAAACTGCTCAAGGAAACAAAAACGGCTCCTTGTAACCTTCATGCGCTCCTGAGGTTAAGAACCACTGACTTACATATAATGTTGTAGTGTAGAGACAGAACTGATATAAATAAAGCAAGCAAGATATAACCTGAAATTGCCTCGTGGATACACACCGGCAACAAAAAGTGAAGAATGCGTCTCTCCGTCTTCAAGTGTATTGGGCAAATAAAAATCCGTCTATCTTTCCGCCATGAAGTTTATTGGGCCTATAAATATCTGTATAATTTCTTTATGTGGCTGTTGAAATAAAGGCATTCACAGGTGATCTCTGGTGTTTCCAGGCTGCGGCTTTTCTGTATATGGTTTCCAGTGTCATTTTAAATTCCTTTATTCCCCTTTCTACTAGATCTTAGCCACGTAACTGGCGCACAAAAATCAGACCACAAATATTGCAGGAGACTGTTGGCAGAATGGAACGAAATTACGTCCTTTTCTACTCTCATTCTCCCTGTTTTCTTAGATCAGTCTCATTTTTCCTTTTGCCGTCCATCGAAGAGCTGCCTTAACCAAAGTGTCACAAGGCATTCTGTAGACATGTCTGAACCTTCTCCATCTACTTCCTTCGATAAAGTTTTCAAGTGGTGAACATTTGTTTTCCTCCTCAGTACTTCATGTGTGACCTTGTTTGGCTAAAATATTTGCAGGATTATCCTTGGACATGTATTTTTTGACAAATCCATAGTTTATTTAGTTTATGTGTAATTCCTTCAGTTGTACACAGATTCCGTGATTGTAACAGACTCACACAACATGTTGAGAAAGGTAGAGACAGGAATGCTCCGTGCAGAGTGGCAAGTACCACTTCAGAGGTCCCGTGTAGTTAGCAACCTTTGGATATTTTCTTCAGGTCCCATCGGTGTGTTGGGAAATGAGCAGGCAGATAGTTTGGCCGGTTCTGCGCCAGTTGGTGGTGAATTGATGTATGACAAGCTAGATGTTGTGAGGGCCCTTTGGGAGTGAGTGAACAGTGTGGAAGCACATATAGTCTGAAGTACATTATGGTCTGAGGAGAATGTCATTGCGAGGAGTTCCCAGGGATCTGGCCGGCACTCAAAATTCAAAGAAAAGGCGAGACGGATATACAATCAGTTACTAGTGTCATCGGAATTGGAACTCTTCGCTTGCTGCTAAAGATGGGGACGAGGCACTTATGAGAGTGTCCCGAGTGCTATGATGTCAATTCTTAATTCAACATTGTGTAAATCCTGTTATTTTCCAACACACTGTTACATAACAGTATTCCTAAAATGTTTATATTGTATAATATGAGTTTTGTCTTCAAACTAAGTCACTTGAGTTCCACATGTTTGCATGGCAAATGCTTGGTTCGCTTTGTTTATTCTTGACGTTACATCCTTTTTCAGAATCCTGATCTGGAGTAACTTTACTTTCCGATGCATATAAATTCCTGTATTGTCTCGTCATTTACCGTAACTAGATTTTTATGTGTTTTCTTATTATTGCTCATTCATCATCACCAAGTGCCTTGCCGGTAGGCGTAGGCGTTTCATGAATCTCCACAGATCTCGGTCTTTGGTGTTCTGAATCAATTCCACTGATCATATTCCTCCATGCCACTGTCTTAAGCATCCACCATAATTTCTCTTGGTCTGCCTCTGCCTCTTCTACCAGTGTTCTTTCCAGTCATCACGATATTTTCCAGTGCTCCTTTTCTCATCCCATGACCAAAGAATTTGTTTGTCTCCTTGCCATTGTTGTGTATAATTTGCTAGGGCTCGTTACTTTAGTTGTACTAGTATTTATCTGAGGTCCCATCCTAAAGGCCACTGTAGAAAGTATTTCAATCTTTTCTGCTCATCCACGGAGCTGCTGATGTCATCAGCACAGTCCAGATCCTCTAAAACTGAGGCAAACATTCATCTCTTAACGCTGTTTTGATCTCTAGTAAACTTCCTTTGTCAGTCATGGTCTCATTGAAGAAAAGGGTGATACAGTGCATCCGTGCCTAACTCCTGTGTTGGCAAACAAACTTTCTGTTGTATGAACCTTGCTGACTACTTTGCATTGAAACTCTCACTAAATTTTTTTGATCACATTTAATATTTTTAGTCGTATGCCAAAGCACTTAAGCGTTGCGAACCCGTTTTGTAATGCCGGAGTGCCGGGTTCGATCCCAGCTGCGTTGGTTTTGACACTTGTACCGAGATCCGACCGTCCAGGAAGTAATGGCAAACTACTGGACGTAAATTTGCCTAGAAAAACTACAACAGCCAAAAAATTCTGAGGTTCGTACTGCAATGTCATGTAATGGAAACGCAACTAACGTTATGCCTTAGCAAAGCAATTCTCTTTAATAATGATTCTCTATGCTAGTTATCAAAAGCCTTTTCAACATCTACAAAGACGAAATAAACTGCGCCATTCCATTCGTTGGTTACATTACGGCACCGTGTACCGACTGGTAAAATGTAGGTCTAACACTGCAGACTTAAATACGTTTACTGACGTGGAACCGGATCCTTTACTAAATTTATTCCATTTGTTACTTTGTTGAATTATTTGACGCAGCGTACAATTGGTCGATGTATGATTTCGCTTTGCTTAAACTGCTTGCTCTTGCCTGAGGTTTACTACTAAGTGCTTGAGCTATTCTCTTAAGAATTAATCTGACTGACGATTTCACGTGTTACTGTTATCTCTCCAGATATTGCAGTTGCATAAACCTCCTCTCTTTTGTAGTCTGATATTGATACAGTTTCACGGCCTATGTAAAATTTCTTCCTTATTCAAGGTTCTTCAAAACTCTTGCACAACAGTTGCAGTGTTTCTATCTCCTCTACTTTCAGCATTTTTGGCAAATGTCATCAAACCCAGGTGCTTTGTTAACCTTTAGAACCTCAACAGCCTCCCTAACTTTTGCCTCTATGCTTATCTGAAGATTCTCCTTGGCCTAAAGTGCTCCTATTTAAGAGAGTACAAGTCTGGGCAGTTTAATTATTTATTGTAGACGTTCTTTTCTATCTTTCCAATTTTCCTTGTAATCATCTTTCCATTCTTTGATTTCAGTGAAAAATGTTGAAGTGATACCTCATGTCCTTTCAGGTTTTTAGTTATGCAATATACTGTTTTGTTGTTATGCTTATGTGATGCTTCCTCTGCCTCTATTACTAGCTTGTCTACACAGGAATAGGTATTTGCTCCTCTCCCCCACCCCGGTTCAATCCAAATATTCTTTTGTTCATACTATGTAGATAGTCTTTCTTTCAGTCTGAGTGATTTTCCATTTAGCTTTTGTTTTTTAATTACTTTTTGTTGTGCAATTTCCCAACCCCCTCCCCTCTCGTTTTTTTTAAAAAGTCCATTCCTTTTATTTGGCTGCATATGTTCTAATATTTGGTCTCCTGTTAATCCCTCCCTCTCTCTCTCTCTCTCTCTCTCTCTCTCTCTCTCTCTCTCTCTATATCTCTATATATATATATATATATATATATATATATATATATATATATATATATATATATATATACTACGACTATCTCTGATTTCTGACTCAGTCAATGGAGTGCAGCTCTAAGGTCTTCTATGTCTGTATTGTTTTTGCTCTTCATTACTGTGACAACTGACTTCACATTTGTGAAGATAGCTGCGTTTCTCTCTTATTAATATTATTTTTTTTTTTAACAGAAGTCTTCTTCTTCTTTGTCTTTGCGTTCACCAGCTGTACACTCTGGCGGAAGGTTCTGGTTGCTCGTCCACTACTGAACTGCAGTCCTGCTCCAGAACCTGAGTGTTGCGTGTGCATCAGTTTTACAGATCTTATTCTCTTGAATACAGACTGTTGGTTCTTTTCCTCTCCGGCAGATGCACTCCGACTTCAAAGGAAGCTCTCCAATTAGTCGACTCTTACGACATGCTTTTGGGGAGGCAGTGGGTCTATTCTTGTTTTCCCCACAATGGGGCCCCGGAACCCACACAGGGGGTTTACAGAGGTATTTCTGATGAAGTTCTAAAGGCCCCTGCCTCTGCTCTAAAATGACTTGAGAATTTTCCAGTTGCTGTGTTTTCTTTGTGCTGTCATTTCTGGACTTTGGCCTAGTTCCAGAACTTGAGAGTTATGTTCACATCCATTTTACACATCTGGCTTTTTTTATGCAGACTGTTGGTCCCTCGCCTCCCAGGCTGATGCACTTCGATTTTAAAGAAAACAGAACTAATTAGTCGCCTTTTGCGACATTCTTGTTAGGAGGCAGTGGGTATATCCCCCTCCCTTTCCAACTCCCTCTCCCACTCCCTTCCCCACTCCCTTTCCTTAATGCTAAATATAGCCTGCAGGACTCAGTAGAGGGAAAGAGGAGAAACGACTGACCACGAATGTCCTGGTTACAGAACCTGCTTGACTTTACAGGCTTCAGGCATACAACCATGAAGGCCTTCGCAGCTGACTGCCAGATGTGTAGAGCTGATCAGACAGTCAACAGAAACTGGTAAGTAAAGTAACGGACCCTTTTCCACGCCTATCAGGTTTTTTGTGTATATACGGCTAGACCTAATATTTTATAGACTAGCGGCACAGGATGGGTGATGTGGTCAGCATCACGCCACGGTCGCCTTTACTCCCCATGAATGCACCTGGTACCCACTAAAGGCTGGGTCGACCTGGGAGTCAGGGTCAGTTTTGAAAAAAAGTCCGGTTTCGCCAGGGAGCGAACCACGACCTTCCGAGCGTCAAACCGCTACGCCACGGCGACTCCCAACAAAAACTGGTGACCCAACGACACGTAGTGTACGGGATGACACTGACGACCCATAACCTATACAAGAATTCAAACTTGATGCTGTTGGAAGTGCTGGCCACAGTGACGATGATGATGATGGTGATGATGATGATGATGATGATGATGATGATGATATTGATGATGATGATGATGGTGAGGATGATGACGATGGTGATGGTGATGATGATGATGATGATGATGGTGATGAATGATGATGTTGTTGATGATGGTGATGATGATGATGATGATGATGATGATGATGATGATGATGATGGTGATGATGAGGATATGACCTTTGTTAGTGTTAGACTTACAGATGCCGACGTCATCACAACAATTACAGAGGCCAGTACTCCAGTCTCGAACTCCCACAGCCGCAGCTGGCTGCTGTATGATGACCGTTGTGTTTGTGTGGTGACTGGCTTGCTGAGATCCCGGACCGTAGGGGTTTCCGGGATTCCCATAGTAGGCCCCCGGTTGTCCTCCAGGCTGGGTCTGTACTGTGTGGTGCTGCTTCGAGTACTGCGAATCCATCTTGCAACCCACGAATCTTTACTAAGGAAAACACAGTCAGTTAGTTGTGTTTCCTTTTCAGGAGGTCGCTGAACCAAATTCCAGCGTTTGTTATCTAATTTTGATTTTACTAAACAATTGTATGTGCGGTAGTTTACCATTGCTCACTAAACGTTCCGCTTTTGAATTCCCTTGGGGATAACAAAACAATGCGGTCTGCTGCCTAATCGCCTGAAGCTGGAATCGAACCAAGTACCACGGAATTAGGAAACCTGCTCGCAGCTCCCCCTAGCCACAGAGGCCGACTTAGGCAACACAAGGCAGAGTTTTTTTGTTGTAATACACTGGGAATTTTTTAAAAAAATGGCCACAGAAGACAGGTGAAGACTTGTGAAGCATGTTTATGCTGGCTTGTGGGTCAAGACAGGAGACATTGTACAATTTAGATTGAGAAAAGACTTTAACTATACATAGAGATGGCTGCTGAATCTGAGGACTAAGCATATATGATATTTACCAATGTACAACAACGTCGATAGTAAAAACATAACAACCCCTAACCTAAAATATAGTAACTTACTACACAATACTATGAAAAAAGCATTACATACCACAACATAACATAATAAACTGTAACACCACATAGCATAACATTTCATATCATAACACAATATAAAATACCATAACACAACATAATATACCATATCCTAACTTAACATACCACAGCCGACATTACATAACGTACCATAACAAACCATTAAATAACACAGCAAAGCGAGATATAAAATATCATAACTTGACATGATTTACCATAACATACCATACCATAACATAGCATACCATAACACATTATAATATATCATACCAACAGTCTGCATACAAATAAGCCAGATCTGTAAAAAGGAAAGCACGCAAACTCTACATCTGGAACAACAGTTAAGTCCACAAGTGGACGAACAACCAGAAATTTTCACTAGAATTTACAAAAAGAAGAGGAAGAAGAAGATTTCGACTTCAGTAGAAAGAGATGATTGTAGCAAAGAGTGACCACACGAATTTGGCAGCACTCAACATCCAGAAGACACACGCCCAAACTACTTTCCTACCGTGTGGTGTCAGGGGCCCCAAGTTTGGTTGGGGGGGGGGGAGAATAGACCAGCCCCCCCCCCCCCCCCCCCCCCACCGCTATCCGACCTCCTATTTCCCTTTCCCAAAAGCATGTCGGGAATGGAGACTAATTAGGGGTCTCATGAGATCGGTTGTGATTAGACTCAAGGGTGCACAAATTGCAGCTTTGCTGTAGACCACAACGGAAAATGCCAACCGCCATTGTAAGTGAGGACGCGGAAGTGAAAACTACAGCTGTTACCATAAATATTGACTGGAACTCTGGGCTGGCTGTTGGTTATGTTGACTGGGCGCGGTTAGCAATGTCCGTTGCGCTATGACAACTATATACAATAGCAAAGAAAACGGTTAGGTAGTCATAGCTGTAGCAAGGAAGATCTTGGAAACGCAATTGATTTGTTACAGAACTATATTGATTTCTACCCACGTTTTTATATCTAAGATTTTCGTCTGAGTTTCCGGACTCCCGTTGTGGGAGAAAAGCAAAACAAGAATACATCCTCTGCTTCTACTTCTGGACTGCAGTCCAGTTCCAGAACCTGAGTGTTGCGTGTGCATCCGTTTTACAGATCTAACTCATTTGTATGCAGACTGCTGGTTCCTTGCCCCTCAGGCAGATGCACTCCGACTTTGAAGGAAGCTCCCAATTAGTCGACTCTTACGACATGCTTTTGGGTAGGCAGCGGGTCTATTCTAGTTTTTCGTATAAGACGGCTCCGAAATCCACACGGGGAAAAGGTCTCTAATCCATGTCTTCAGGTTTACTGGGCACACAGGGCTAGACTTCAATTGTATAGACCAATCGGCACTAGGTGGAGGATGTGGTCAACATCACGCCGGCCACCTTTACTTTCGTGGACTGTACCTGGTACCAATATATGGCTGGGTTGATTACCAGAGCAAAAAAAAAAAATTTTTTAGGGGGGGGGGGACCCTAAACCCTACACCACAACCGTTTCCCCACTCCAAAGGTGGGGAACCGTCGTAGTGTAGGAGTTAGGCTTTTTTTTAAACACAGTATATATACATATATGCGGTCTGGATATAGCTAAAGAGCCCAGCAAATTTATATCCGGCCCTGCCCGAGACGATCCCTATTTTCAAAATTGTGACCGTTGAGTAAACAATAGAACAGCCCTGTTTTCGACTGTTTAGCTAAACAGAAACGGTAGATTATTTGCCTACATGAATTAGGTAAGGAGCTCTTATATTTTTGAATCGCGACTAGATGGTCTCAGGAATGACGTCCACCTCGCGTGCTGGAGGTCCCGGGTTCAAGTCACGGTGAAGGCTGAGATTTTTTTATATGTAGACTTCTAGTAATTTCCCCTAGTCTCTAGGTAGTAAGATCGGACGCCCATGTGTATTGTTGCGCACGTAAAAAACAAATTCCTTAGCAGTTGGAAAACGAAAAGAGTGGCCTAACTGTGCTGCCCTGGCAACAATTTTGAGTTTAATCTACCAAACGTATTTTCAGGATCCTCGCCTGTGCTACGGAGTTCGTGCACTGTGTTGAGATTCTTTCGACGCATGCTTGATTTAGAAGTAGAACGGAGCACTTATGGGTTACTACCCTTGTGACATTATATTGATCTGTAATTTGAACCGGAACCTTTAAACCATATTATTGAATCTATCGCTAAACGGATAATGTTTAACTGCTTTGCTTTTAAACTGATACAACTCTAGATATAGAGTATAACGGTTTTTTTAACGAACAATTTCTTAAATACTTATGTGGTAGAGTGTTTCGCTAAACAGCTAATGTTCTTAATGTTTACATTGTAAAGTGTTTAAGCTAAACAGATAAGACTCTAACTGCTTAACCTGTAAAGTATTTCGCTAAACAGATAAACTTCTAGAGTAGAGTGATTCCCTAAGATACTCCCCCCTTACCTTGCCTGCTCCCGTAACGTTCAAAGGCTTGACTGGATTTCCAAAATGAACAAGAAAATCGCCAGTGAACAAGTGGGAGTTACAAAATCACGTGGTACCAAAGCGTTCTAAAGGTCCCGTTTGTGAAAAGCCTGTGCGTTTGCAAAATCATTACGCCTATTGCTGACAACACAGTAAAATGCAAATGACAGTCACGTTACACACTTTGAAGCAGAAAACAAGTAATAGACACATCCAGCAGTTTGCTTGCGCAAGGCCGGAGAATAAGGCACAATCGATTACAGAATCACATGTATACACAATTTAACACTGGAACAACAGTCGCGCTCACCAGTCAGATGGTATGCTGGGCAGCAGAACACGAACAGTGGAACCTGATATAAGAGCGTACCCAGTCCTGTGCGGTAGATCTTCTCAGTAGGATCCAGTTCAACGAAATGCCGACCCTGATAACTTCGCACTGTCAGATAGAAAATGCCAGTTATATTTTGATTACGCTGCTTATGCCACCCACTTTACGGTGCGGCCGGATGCGGTTGCATCTCTGTATCATAGCACGGTACGGCCCTGAGTGTACCTGAAAACGTGTCTTTCAAGATACAAATCAGGATCACCAAATTTTTGGGAGCTCCCGTAATATGAGGCCAAATCCAGGATGCGAGCTAGAGAGTCATGAAGTCTCTTCTTTAGCCATCTAGATAAATGTTAAATTAATTAGGACACGTAAAGATTACCGAGGGTGAAATCAAGCCACTTGACAAGGCACTTGATGATGATAGATTGTAGCATCGTGATCAGAAGTAACCTCGTTTTCCCTTCCCGCACAGGCAAAAATAAAAAATAATAAATATAAAAAGGCAATGCCATATATTTCTCCCTGTTACCGAAACGAAACATGTAATAAATTGGAAAGAAAAAGTCAATCACATAGATGAATGAAGGCGACAGATGTCTGCGACAGTGAATCTCTGGGCTTTTTAAATATTTTTTTAATTAGTATAACTCATTATTTACTTCTGGTCGACTCTGCATTTAACATTCTTTAGTCATTTCAATTATTCTTATTCTTCCTGTTATTAGAAATGTTTACCAGTACTTGGTTGTGAGTCAGTCCCCACAAATCTGGCCCATCATTCCATACACCTGAATACTTGTCCCGTTGCCAGACCCAGCGGGAACCACCCAATTTGCTGGCTAAATTCTCTTAGCCAAAAGGCCGAGAAGCAATACTATTTTCGGTATTTTAACTTTTGACGCGAACACTTAATAAAGGTGTAATATGTTGTACTTGTTGTTGATCGTCAGTGATGGTCAAGTGTTATCTTGTCATCTCTTTTCGGGATGTAATTTTTCGTTATTTGAAGCCCCACTCTGGTTCTTGCCAGGGGCTGCAATATAGCCTGGCCATAAATATGGTCTAACCACATGGTGGCACTTTGTGTCATCGGGTGTTAATCGCTTGTGTGATGTCCTGGTGGGGTAAAAGAAGATAGATTAGATAGATTAGATAGATAGATAGATAGATAGATAGATAGATAGATAGATAGATAGATAGATAGATAGATAGATAGATAGATAGATAGATAGATAGATAGATAGATAGATAGATAGATAGATAGATAGATAGATAGATAGATAGATAGATAGATAGATAGATAGATAGATAGATAGATAGATAGATAGATAGATAGATAGATTAGATAGATAGATTAGATAGATAGATAGATAGATAGATAGATAGATAGATAGATAGATAGATAGATAGATAGATAGATAGATAGATAGATAGATAGATAGATAGATAGATAGATAGATAGATAGATAGATAGATAGATAGATAGATAGATAGATAGATAGATAGATAGATAGATAGATAGATAGATAGATAGATAGATAGATAGATAGATAGATAGATTAGATAGATAGATAGATAGATTAGATAGATAGATAGATAGATAGATAGATAGATAGATAGATAGATAGATAGATAGATAGAT